AAATTATTTTTAGGTAGGAGCAGAACTGAGTCTAGTACTAAAACCTCTGATGATCAAAATGCCTATAGTGGGGGGAATTCAATTATTTTTCCTGAACACTCCTGATATAAATTTCGAATTGGAAGGTTTATCCGGTATTCCAGGATTAAGGTTGCATTTCAAATTCTATGGAAAACTAAAATAATTATACGTTATCATTTTTTCAGTTACTTTATTCGACAGAAGATTGAAGAAAAAATAACAAAAAAGTTGGTGTTTCCCAATAAAATAACAAAGAGGTTTTCGAAATCAGTGGAAGCTGTCGAATTGAAGTCGTTGGAACCCGCGGTAAGTATTATTCAAAGGGTGTAAAGGGGCGTCCACACTATGCCGATCGACGAGGTCGTTCGACAATGTCGAACGTCATAGGCGACAGTTGCCTCGTCCACACATAATACTGCTGTGTTGACGTATTTCAACAGTCAACTGTGAGTAGTTGAGTGAGGAGAGAGTGAGTGAGAAATATTCTAAATAAATTATATTCAGTGAGACAAGCAAAACAAAAACAAAATGAGTGATGTAGATGCTCTTGTTGCTGCTGCTACTGCCATATTTATGCCCGCGCTTGTGAACCAACATGTACATCGTTCCAGCAGGTTTTGGATTCGACGTAGTCTTGTTAATGGGAAAATAAAGTACAGTACAACTTACTTTATGAAAGATTTATTGTTGGATGAAGTATTATTTTCATTCGACTGTCGGAAAAATCCATTTCATTCGGGTTACATTCGACTCGACACGTCGACATTACGTCGACTGTGTCGATCGACCGCTGTCGATCGGCACATTCGACATAGTGTGGACGCATCTTAAGAAGAAGGTATTGAGAATTTTGAATTACAATACGTAACCCTTAATTCGAGCCCAGATTAATTCTATCGTGTTCAACTCGCAGTGGTAAGGAGGAAGTCTCAAAATGGTGATGCCTTCAGTACGAGCTATTGTATCCACCACATGCTGGCGATACCTGTCACGATGCTGTTTTATGAAACTCATAAGCTCGGCCTTAACCATGTCCTAGGAAAATTGAATTCCTCTTTGTCCTAACCAACTCTGCATGCCTGCTTTTCTGGTGGTCATAGTTGGCAGCTGTTCTACTAATCGGCTGTGATAACAAGCGTTATCCATTACTATTACCGAATTTGGCTCGACTCTTGAAGGAAGGGATTCAAACCATCCTTCAAAGCGTTGGGCGTCCATGTCTTCGTGATAATCCCCCGTTTTTTCTTTATAAAAAAATTAGTGCACTATCGTCTAAAAAGCCCCTCTCGCTACCTTTATGGGAGACAATTAGTCGTTGCCCTTTACCCGTTGGTCCGCGTAACCCTGTTGATAAACCGTCCACAAATGCTTGACGATAACTTAAAGTTGATGTAATTTGAAAAACACTATTGTGAAATTTTTACTAGAACAGATTAACAAATCCGCAACACGTGTTTCGCTGCGCAGTAGCTTTGTCAAGTGTGTTCACTAACAAACTGAATTATACATACATTGTGATTTATATATACTTTTTGAAATATGATCATCTTCCTAGAAACTAATAATATTCTAAGAACTAATTATCTCACAATAAAGTGTGAATTTTAGGTCACTTTCCCAGACAGAGAACGAGCTGAATGGCTAAATGAAGTACGTATAAGTCTTAGTGTTAGTTGTAAAAAATTTAATGACACTATGCATGATAATAGTCAATCAATTTTCGAAATAAATTATTGTTGATGCGTTTCGCTACCCGGTAACTTCATCAGTTGGAGTGGTACGTCAAACTCTACAAACTCTACAATATCTTTAATACAACAGTAGGTGATCACACAACTTAGTCAGATAAATGAATAATTCTGAAAAAAACAGGTAGGTAGATATAAAAAAACAATTACAATACAATATTATCTCTAGGATATTTTTTAATATGTTAATTATTGGCATTTGATGTCAAAAAATAATCAGATAAATGATTATTGGGAAAGAAAGTTTTTGGCTTTCTACTGCCCCATCTAGATACTAAAAAATGTGGTAATCTTCCAAAGAAAGGAAGGAACTAATCAACTTGGAAATAAGTAACTCTATACATGGATGTGTAGATCATGCAAAGAAGTAACTTTCAGACACAAACTGGAAGAAAGCCCTCCTGAAACAGACATCAATGTCTACCAGTGAGGATGGTAGTGTTCCATGTAAGTATAATTTGTTACCATTCATTTAAAGTAGAACTCCTGTGAATGATATCTTATTTTATT